TCGTGCAGCGGGTCCCTGCCCATGGCAGGGGGTGGAACTCGATGATCTTTAAGGTCCCTTCCCACCCAAACCACGCTGTGATGATTCTCTGGTCCCTGTCCTGTCTGGGAGCCGTGGCAGGAGAAGTTCTGGGTCTGGAATTAGCCAAACTGGGCTGGCTCAGCGACGGCCAGGAAGCTCTCGCCTGCACTTTCCGTGCCCACATCTCCGCAGGCTGTTCTTCCAGTAAAGCAAAACACGCCGGCTTGGGTTCAGCTCCCCCAGGCCCGCGATGCCGGCAGAGCGCTATTCACTGACACCGTTCGTGGATCCGTCCTGTCAAACCTCTCCCTCGAGCTGCGTGTCCCTGCGGAACCGACCCCGAGCTTGACGGTTCAGCTCTTCCCAGGAGCCCGAGGCGTCGCGTCTCAGCAGAGTGAGGCCAGACACAGCCACGCCACCGAGGACAGCGCTGGCCCAGGGCAAACGAGGGGAGAGGAGGAAAGCTGATCAACAGGGACCCCCAGGAAAAAAAAAATACAACGGGAAGGGACAGAGGGACCTGGCTGTCCCTTGCCACGGCGCTGTCTGGATTCAGTGCATGGGGGTCCTGTACGGCACAGGGCACGAAAAAAGCACAAGCGAAGAGGGAAACGATGACCTAAAGGTCTGATGGACACCTGAAGCCTTCAGATAGGCAATAAATTGTCAGGAAAATGTATCAACTGCACAAACAAGCAAAAGAAGAGTCTAAAGAGAAAAGCAGAGTGATCTGGGATATCCAAGGCCACCCAGCTCCCCATCATCGACTCGGTAGCTTTCGTAATGAAGAAGGGTGCGGATAATCCGGGGTTTGCTGTATTATGATTATAAATAAGGTTTCTAGATCAGTTTAATTCTGCAAAGCGCTTTTAAGGATTAGGGCTGGCAGCCAGGACAAATCTCCCCGTAGATGCCACACCACCAGGTGAGGTCTTGGTCCCTCGCTACATTACGATGGGAGAGGGGGAGGCAAGAGATGCTTCAGGGGCCAACAAACCCACGGAGGGATGGCTGCAGGGGGAAGATCTCACGGACGAAGCTGTTCCTTCTCAGGAGGGCTTGAGCAGAGCCCCCCTGTCACCCCGGCAGCACTGGGGGGTTGTTCATACTCACATCTCCCTCCTGCAGCTCTGGCACCGTGATCCGCACCGGCTCCGTCCGCTTCTTGGCCTTGGGGAGGCTCAAATCCCCCCCGGCCCCGGGCAGAGCCGCAGAGGCTGACCCCGGAGGGGGCAAACTGAGGGCAGAGGCGGCTGTCGTGGTGGTGGAGGTGTTCCTCG